TAAGTTTAACATTGTACCACAAATAGATAATAGGCAAAGTTGAACAATGGTTTTGTGTTAGAGTACATTTTAAAAGGTTATTGAAAAGGGGACAGGGAGGTAGATAGAAGCAGAGAAGTTTATAGAAGGAATCCAGAGATAAGAGTCTAGGCAGCTAAAGGCATAGACACAATGAAAATCAGAGACGTGCAAAAGGCCATAATTATAGAAGCAAAGAGATCTTAGAGGGTTTTGCAGCTGTAATTGCAGAGAAAGGAAGGGCTGAGGTGGAAGAAGGGTTTGTACACTGGAAAAGAGTATTAAAATTGTGGCAATATTAGACTGGGAATCACTGTTGGTCATTAAGGAGAAAGGTGACGGATGAGGGAGAGGTGTGTGAGAGGTAGGATACAGGTAACAGAGCTTGGGGTCACTGTGGATGAGGAATATTTTAGTGAGCCTATTACATTGCGTCTAAGTGTGAAATCATTTTAAGGTACATGTTTGTGGATATCATAAATCATTTCCTTTTGACTCTGGCCGCAGTATTTAAGGCAAGCTTGAACCGGTTGCTCAGAAAATATGTGCCAGCACGTAAATAGTTTTAGCGCTGTATAGTTGCGAAAATGCATAAATGCCTTTTGGCATCAGCAAATTGAAGGTTCGTTGCAAATCACAGGGAAGATGAGGAAAAAGAGACATTCTAAGACCATAAGACATAGGAACAGAAATTAGGCCATTCAGCCCATCAGGTCTGCTCTGCCATTCAATCATAGCTGATACGTTTCTCAACCCCATTCTCCCCATATCCCTTAATCCCCTTGACAATCAAGAACCTATCTACCATTGTCTTAGATATGGTCAATGACCTGGCCTCCACAGCCTTCTGTGGCAGTGAGTTCCATAGATTCACCACTCTGTGGCTGAAGAAGTTTCTCCTCATCTCTGTTCTAAAGGGTCTTCCCTTTACTCTAAGGCTGTGCCCTCAGGTCCTTGTCTCTCCTGCCACTCTGTCCAGGCCATTCAGTATTCTGTAAGTTTCAATTAGATCCCCCTCATCCTTCTAAACTCCATCAAGTGTTGTCCCAGGGTCCCCAACAGGGTCCTCATATGTTAAGCCTTTCATTCCTGGGATCATTCTCGTGAACCTCTTCTGGACCTGCTCCAGGGCCATTACATCCTTCCTGAGGTATGGGGCCCAAAATTGCTCACAATACTTTACAAAGCCTCAGAGGTACATCCCCGCTTTTATATTCTAGTCCTCTCGAAATAAATACCAACATTGTATTTGCCTTTTTAACTATCGACTCAACCTGCAAGTTTACCTTAAGAGAATCATGGACTAGGACTCCCAAGTCCCTTTGCACTTCAGATTTCTGAATTTTCTCCATTTAGAAAATTGTCTATGCTTTTATTCTTTCTACCAAAGTGCACGACCTGCAGGCAGCTTGGCAGATGTAACAACATAATTTAGGTTGGGAGCCCCTAATGATCACCTATCTTTCATTGATAACAGCACTGAGTCCAAATCCAATCATTCATTTGTTCACACAAATGATGCACTGGGAAGAAGCAGGAATTACACAGTTGGCCAACTGTGCTCAGAGGATTTTCCGCTAATCAATGCTGTCAAACCCATTTTATATGGTGGGCATGATCCTACATCTTGCCATTTGGCATTGGGCTCCATTCAACAGACATTACTTAGACATATGCAGAAATAAACCTTGTTGTCTCGGATTCTCCAGTATCTGCAGTTCCTACTACCTCTGCAGAAATAAGTAGGTGCTTTGCTCATTTTGGGGTGCGGAACAGACTCGAGGTTCCACATTTCAACTATTCCGACTTCTGTCTTGGTCATGACAATGTTTAGACATACCTGTTCTCTGCCTGAAATCAGTGTTTGGTTAAATACGGGAAATGCATAAAAAGCTTCTTTGAACACATACCATGCAAGCTTTAATTGCTGGACACCACTGAATTTTTCAAGAGAAAGTCTGTTTTTGTGAACCTCACCTTCACCTTCACAGATGAGTAGCATATTTTCCCCATGCCCATGTTTTGCAATGGGTTGCTACCAGATGAGATTTGTACACCTGACTCCCTGCCATGTATTGGAGCTCGCAACCGAAAATGAAGTGAAAACCCTCCACTTCAGTGCTTTTGTTCCCCATTTGGCCGTCAGTTTTAAACCACAGTGAGGTCCCCAAATTCCACTCATTATTTACTACCAATGCTCTCTCATTGCTTCTGCCACTCAGCATATTGCTGTTGTGATGTGCAGAAAATTCATGGCCCATCATTGGGTGGAAGTAAGTGATTTGCACTGTGTATTTGATCCACCTACTATATTAGGAAATTATACAAGGATGGCAACTTGGCTTGTTAATACCAGATCCAACCCAGAATAAATCATTTAATGCAATAGCAACATTTGAATAAACATTTGGATAGGTAGATGGATGAGAAGGGTTTAGAGGGATATGGACTAAATGCAAGACGGCGGCTGGGTAATTTGCTCCATTCGGAGCTCCACTCTGCTCGCCAGTACTCTTTCCTTTTCCTCTTTTTCTCTCTGTAGTAATTCTATCAGCCCCCCACCCCCCGCCGTTTTATAATTACGTACCTAAGGAGTCGGGTCATGTCTCGGAACCACATAGCGGGAGCTGAACACGCGGGCCGTGTCTTGCAGCGACGGTGGATCAAGCATGGGCCGGAGCAATGGCGGCAGATCAGGAACGGGCCAGTTCAATGGTGAGGGGGCAGCAGTCAGCGGTGGGAGCAGGGCCGGGGAGGGGGCAGCAGTCAGCGGTGATAGCGGGCCAGTTCGGCGGTGAGAGCAGGGCCGGTGAGGGGGCAGTCGGCGGCGAGAGCGGGCCAGTGAGGGGGCAGTCGGCGGTGAGAGCAGGGCCGGTGAGGGGGCAAGAACAGGCCTTTCTCTTGGCAGTGGCGACCGCCTGGGTATTCTAGCAATTGGTGCGGTGCCTGCACTGTTGTAGAGGTGGGACTTGGGACCTGGACTTTTCTTCTTCTCTTGCTTACCTTTTGGCTGTTAAATCTTTTAATTCTAGCTTTTGTAACCAAGTGGGCGCCAATGAATGGCGACTTTGTGCACTTTTCACTGTACTTATATATTCCTACACTTAGTACATGTGACAAATATATAAATCTAATCAAATATAAATAAATCCAATCTAATCTAAATGCGGACAATTGGAAGTAGCTGAGTGGGCACCATGGTCAGCATGGACCAATTTGGACTCTACGACTTGAATGAGTGCACACAGACAAATGTTACACTAATTCATAACTTATAGCCTTAATAAGCATCAGTCTACATATGAATTGTCAGTTATCACTTTCAGCACAACTGTCATTTCACTGCTTAAGAAAAAATATTCAGAACTCAACCTATTGTTTCAAAATAGTTAATTTAAATAATTGTTTATTCAACCATTACTTTGCATACAAAGTTGCAAAAAAAATCTGATGACCATGAAATCGTACACTTAAAATCAGTCAAAACTTTCAGAAGAGTTGGAAAAGACAACAATAAGGAAGAAAAAGTACATCAAGTACAAGGTCCACGATCAATCAAATTGTTTCCACAATGTTTTCATATTGATTACAACCGGGAAACAGCTCTCAAAGCATTTGTTGTCAACCTCCAATTACTAACTGAAATATGATGTGTATCATGAATTTGTGCAAGCATTTAACGCAGGAGGGACAGAGCAACTTGGAAGCAGATGATAAATTCTGGGAATCAGTTCATATACTGATGGTTCGGATTGGACAGTAAGAGATTAGATTGCTTCAGCATATCCGGTGTAGGTTTTGACCTGAATCTATTTTCGTGCCAATTATGCACCTACACCAAGAGAACGAATACAAACTGGTCATCAGGCCTCTTCATTGTAATCGGTGTGAACTGACAGTGCATGTTGCATCACCACAGACAGCTTGCTTGAGCCAACAATTCTGCTTCAGGCAACCAGTTTCAGCTCAAATCCTGAGAGTTGAGGGATGCGTTGCTGGCTCCACTCAACTTATTGTAAAACCAAAGAGCATTTTTCCATTTATCAAAATGGGAGTCACTGAAGAATCGTCAACAGGGCAGGTATGGCTCCTATCTTGCTCATCAATGGCTAATCTCTGAACACACCAAGTTTAGCTTTTAATTTGTATACTTCACACAAGCATTGATCCCAAATTCATGTGGCATATTTTTTAGCCAGCTCACGTGGACATCCAACATACATTTGAAGCCCCATTAAATGTGCTAGTTACAACATTTGAAGGACTTGTGTGTAAAATCTGTTGAAATTTTTCTTGTTGTGTGACAACCCACCAGAAATGTCTTTCAGGAAATATGCCTGTGTGGAGTCAGAAGAGGCAGGTGCTCCTCCCTGACCACACAGTATGAACAAAAACATCTCCTCTTCAACATCATGCAAACAGGAGGCATCAAAATCTGCAAACGTGCCTCAATTCCTGCCGATCCTCTGGCCAAAGCCAAAATCTGCTTCACAAGACTGTGTACAAACCATACTTTTCAGGAATTACGATAATCAGAGTGGCTGATTTGTTCCTCCTTTCTTGGCCCGAGGATGTTGCAATGATCAATACCTAAAATCCAAGGGGATCCCGAGATGATCAATTTTGATGATATTTTGCATGGATTCTTGGCCCAACCAGCTCTGTTGATTTAATCTTTAATCAATTTCATTGCCATGTTTCCTTAAAGAAAAATGAGTTATGGATTCACTTCACCTCACAGTCAGCCAAATCATATGATCACAGGCTTCTCGTGTTTCAAACTTTCAAAGGTGAAGCAATCTAGAGTGACTGGCCTGGAGTAAGCTGTGCACCCTATCAGAAGATCTGAACTGGATTGTACCTTGTGTATTTTATATCAGCAGTGATTGACATGAAAATAAATCATGTAAAATGATGAAACATATTGGTTTCACAGCAGGAACTTTAAACATTTTCACGAGCAAATAAATTATAGTCAGTAATCTTGGACATTTTTTATTAAAATGTACAACAGCATTGCGTAAACAGAGTGAGAAAACCCATACCCGACATGGAGCAAAATATATACGGTAAGTGCTTGCAAGATTCAAATCCATGGTTTCAGTAATACACAGTAAATCTCACCAGGCTAGACTAACCAGCTTGAATTATGCACTGAAATATTTAGACAAATATCTTTGTCTGCATTTCTTCAATTCATTCTCAGAGTTTTGCCGTTACAAGAGAACCTAGCATTTATTGACCATCTCTAGTTTCCCTGAGATGATATTGGTGCGTCTTTTTAGGCAGTTTAATGCAATAGTGTGGACTTGCTTAGTCACTTCAGTGGAAAGTTAAGAGGCAATTGCCTTGGTGGAGTTATAGATGCACCAAATGGATAACAACAGGTTTCTTTCCCTGAAGGATACACTAATGAAAGAGTCGGGTTATTATGACAACCTTATGGCTTCATGGTCATCTTTTCTTGTATCTAAACTTCTCATTAGATTAATTCATATTCACAAATTGTCAAATATTCTCTGCAGTATTAATTCAGACCATTAATCACGAATCCAATAGCACAACCACATTGTTGCATTGTTCCAGATAGGGGGAGGGGAGAACAACAATTTGAATATTGCAGGCATGAGCACAAAAATTAACATTAGTTCAGGTCAGCTGCAAATTTTCTCAGAGACTTCCAAAAGAAAACAAAATATGTTAATCAGTAAAAATGTTAAAATAGGCTAACAACAACATGTTAGGTGTTATGCTACCTAAAATTGCTACCTTCCTTTTGGCAGCCAAAGAAATATAACTGTAAGACACAACATGCTGCTAATGCATGTTATATTTTCATTATTGCTTAACAAGTCCTTTGCAGAACAAAGCAGAGGCTTAACCATCCCATAGGGTGTACAGAACTATCAGCTCATTATGTTTACAGAGCTACTGGGTTACTGTAAACCCACAGCACACACTGTGTGCAATTTAGTCATCTGCATGGCATTTATTACATACATGTTCTTATTTCCATAGGAACACATGTATTCTGACAAGTCTATGCTCATCATTTTGAATAAATTTTCCATTAGAGAAATACATTAATCAGCGATAATCACTGAAAGCAAAGAAGGGGACTGAGAGCATTTATCCATCAACCAAATTATTAAGTATAACAGATGAAAAGAAGTGACAGTGCTTTTGTTATGGTAGACAGTTAGGCATCATTCACATTCTTCACACTGCACTCTTCCATCACTGCACCTTTCAAACTAAGGAAACATACAATGGGGATGATAACTAAAAAAAAGTTAGTAATTCAACACTTAAAAAAAAACTTTTTTTCTTAATGCTATTATCACAATGATGAAATGTTCAGTGACTCCTCACCCAGTCTGACTCCACTGAATCTACAACAGGTAGTTGCCAACGTTTGATCTTTACAACACTGTGAAACCAGCAGATGAAGGGAATGAAAATCAGCCATATTCTGCCCCAGGAGGACCCCTGATGATGTTGAAGTATCCAGCCAAGGCACCGAGGTCAATATAGAGAGAGCGATTCCTTTTCCCTACAGTTGATTCTTCAGTGCTGCTCACAGAAGTATCTGGAGTTAACATAAAATTAAGAAAATCAAGCTTTCCCTACACAAAAACTTCCTAAAGCCAAACCAGTGTATTACAGGAAAGGAAATAATAAATATATTGCTTCATCATTTCTGTCTCAACTGCCAACATTTCAGCTTCAGATTTTGCAATCACTCTGCGCAGGAAGACTCTGGCAGTTTCTGACATTTTCGCAGAATGAATGGGGGAGGTGAAAGCAACAGTTAGTGTCAGGTCCTCCTTCCAGTCACTGGTTTTAAATGTGAGTGAACCAAATGGCCTTTAAATTCCAGGGTCTGTGATCAATTAGAAGAAGAATGAAGCAGACTGTCTGCCAATATTCCTGAAAAATCAGAACAGTCATTTTAATCTGGTAGCTGCAGCTGCCAGCTTCCGTTCTAGAACAAAATGCCCGGCCCAAGAGCTGAGTGGAAAATTAAAGAGCCACCTGCCAATGCCAGCAGAGCTCAATGGGTTTATGTGGGTGCAATGGGGAAAATTTGAGGTAGTTTTGGAATTTCCCCTACAACCATCGACCTAAAGCAATCCCAGTATATAAAGGGGAACAGGCACACTCACCTCCCACTTGGCTGAAATTTGCACTGTTAAATAGGGCAGTGTTGACCGCAATCTCCCTTTTCTGTGCCTCACCTAGCCACAAGATCTCAGATCAATATTTATCAAAGCTATGGGTGTTGGGCTGATTGTTGACATTCACAATGACTCCAAGAGCTCAGTACTGTGCAGGACAGGTTTGGTAACACTACTTTTCAGCTCTGCCCTCAAGGATCATAATGAGATTACATTTGTCAATGTAACAGTGGATGCGATTGTTTTCCTAATCTCTTATCTACATAGATGATATGCACTGGATGCTTCCATCTGCTACATTTAAATTCTGCATTTTTTTGCTTTCCCAACACTACAAAGCCTCATTTTTTTCTCAAAGGGACGATTTATTTTGCAGTATTATTCAAAGAATAACAGCAAAATGGGCAGAATTTTCTCTTCCTGCAAGTGGTGAGAGGGGAAATAATTAGCTGACATATTGTCCCCGTTCTAGTCACATCATCAACAAAATTCTGGTCAAGGCAGCCCACTGGGGATTTTCTCTAACCATCATTAAATAACGCCCTTAATCAGTCACTGGTCACTTAAGGCCCTCAGCTCTTCACTTCCCAGATTATCAGGCTTCCCAGAAGACAGGAGAAGATAGCTAGTTTCCACACCGGGGAACCAGAGTGACCTATCTGCTTGAGGGATGGAGCTCCAATTGACCCAGTGTGGGGGCAATCACAAGCAATAATGCTGCGGCAGGGGAGGGGAAAGGGGTGGCTTCTGTTAGCCAACTCCCTACCCTTGGCTCCAAGTTCCCACATCTGCTTCTGCTTTTGTCCCTGAACCCCATGCTGCCACAAGAAAAAAAACCTCCTTGTCACTGGATCCTGAGGAGTAGGCCTCAATTATGGGCTTTACGATCCAGAAGCCAGCGGCATTTGATTAGCCGACAGCTTCTGGCGATCTGGCATGCCACTGTTGAGGCCTGTGATACGGCAAGAAACTCAAGACTCTGCCCATTAACTCTTTACGAGTTGATTGGTGGGCGATATGTCAAGTTATCTCAAAATTGAACACGTGCCCATATATACGTTTATTGCAAAAAAGGAAATTTGTGCCCATGGAATAATCACATATACAAGTATTACGCTATCACTTGGTTGTTAAAAAAAAGACTGTACTGTTCCAAAACTTTGCTTTCATTTCCCTTTACAGTTAATTATAGTTTTGCTATTGAATTTCTGACAGATGCTTTAGTTTTACCAGCATTATCTATGGAGAATATTCCTTTTAGCACTGTGTGTGGCAGACTGCATTTAATTTACAAACGACCATACACGATAAATAGAAAAAACACTGACTCCCAACTGTTTAAGACATATTTTAAATACTTGGAATAAAAAATGGCATGAAAAAAAAAGTACAAAGTATCTATGATAAAGGAAGGAAGTGCACAGATTTATGTGAAGCATTGCTGATTTATACTGACTTGGATTTTTGCTGTAGAATGAGATGGGCATAGAGTCAGAGTTATACAGCACTGAAACAGTCTCTGCAGTCCAACTTGTCCATGCTGACCAGATATCACGTTTTGGGTTTGGATCACTGATTGTCTTTTGTTATCAAACAACCTGAATATCACATTCAGTTTGTATACCTCCTATCATGTAAACCAGGCTGGCTTAACTTTCATCCTCTACACAAAAGAGCATTCCTAATTCCATGTGACTTCCATGTTCCCATTAGTCTGAATTTCCTGTTTAAATAATCACTTATTCATGTTATTTCAGAATTAACGACATGCTTTCTACTTTGAGTACTAACTGATCCAGAGTGGGCGTCACTTTAAAAATCTTTATCAAATCATCCTGTTATCTCCTATGTTGTAACATAAACAGTTTAAATTCTCAAGACTGATTTACTCTTTTCAGGCCAGATATCAATGAATTTATGATATACCCGTTTAAATTGTTTTCATCTTTCTACAGTATGGAGCTCAGGACTGTATACAGTACTCTAATATAATCTTGCTGATTATTCACCATTATTTATGAAATGTAAACATTCATCTTGCAATAAAACTCAATATTCCATTTAATTTTAAGTATCACAGTTGTTTCTTTTCCCTCAAAATTGACAGTTGAATTTGGTAGCCACTTTTTTGGATAAGATGCGGTGCAAGGATGGAAATTAAAATAAACTCCTGTCCAAATGCATGTTTTTGACAAAACACCAAGGAGTCACACGGCCAAAAATCATGTGTAATGAATACATCGGGTCTGCTGAACAATAGCCATGTAGAAGCAAAGAAGCTGAATGTGTGGTTTAACAGGTGGCAGATACACTAGTGGCCTTATAGTTTAATGAGGTCTTAAATTTAATCAGTGATTTTAGGAAAGGAGGGGAGAAACTTATAGAAAACAATTATCAATAGAACAGAGCCATTGAAAATAAAATATTCCCCAGCTACAACTAGAAGGTAAAGATAACTCTGAGCTGAAAACTGCTGTAGGTCAAATACAATGTTGAAACAGGAGGCTTTAACTATCCAGGTCAGATCATCAGTAGAAGTACTATGTCCTTTAGTGATATTTTGAACAAACTGGTTAATACCTTCAGATGATATCCCTTTGTTTGCTATTTAAACAAGGCCATTAACCTTGTTGTTTTTACTCAAACATGTTATTTATTATCATTCATAAACAGTGGAAATTTTATCCCTCAGGATTGACTCTATCCACTGTCACTGCAATATTCTTCCTCTTATCCTTTACGTCTTTATTGGTGCAAGTAATACTCCAACTCAATTTGTAACTGCATACTGGTTTGGATCGAGAAACACCAAAGTAAGTTTAGGGCTTCAGGATTTTTTTTTTAATTTGCAACTTTCACATTCCCCTTCACAACCCCCGGCTCAAACGATTTCTCTCCACTCCTGAATGACTCTGATCTTTCTCTCCATGGATGCTGCCTAACCCGCTGTGATCTCCAGCATTTTCTGTTTTCAGTACAGATTCCAGCATCTGCAGTAATTTGCTCCAACAATAGATTAAAGTAAGATTCTGTCAGCTCTCTCAAGTACATCTGATAACATTGTTCAAGGGACTATAGGGAAGTTCCCCTCAATGTCCTGGCCAATATTTATCCCTCAATTTACATAGCTCAGATTACCTGGTCATTCAGTCCTTGATGTTGTGAAACACCTATGAAAGATATCTGTCACGTTTCCTACATTACAACTATATATCAGTGAAGTAAGTCACCGACTAGAAAACAATAAAACAATTTGGGACCTTTTGAGGTCACAGATCATACTTTCTAAAAGATTGCTTATTTGTTGATGTGAGCCCAGACAGCAAAGACTGGGAGATTGATCAAACATGGTAATGTGGGGGAGAGTGAGGGTCACAGGTAAACCACATTTCATCCTAGACAATAATCACACGTGAAAAAATAACTGGGGGGGAAATAGTGACTTCCTTCACCCACTGAGAAACTGATGGGATCAAGTGCAATGCACACTCTGATTAGATTCAACAGAAAGCAATATTGGGCAGGTGTAAAATGTAGTTCCAGCTGATCCCATGGCTCTCCTAGCTGGAGAGTTGGGTTAAAATTATCTGTGTTATTAGTTTCAAAATAACTTCTGTTGCCCCAGCTGGTTGAAATTGAAAGGACATACCACAAATTTGTTCTGGTAACTCCAGCTCTTTTCTCCTAAAGGTGCGACTTATTTCAAAGAGAGCTGAGTCAAGACTCTGGCAGCGTGGTTGGTCTTCAGGTGGAGGGCTAAGTGCTGCATGTTTTAACAACTGTCCTGCACACCACCTCTGCTTTGGATTTCTCTCCAAAGTGGCTTCAATAAACTGCCTCATGGCAGGGCTGCACTCCTCTGCAATGTCTTCTAATGGTGGAGCTTGCTTGTGGATCTTCAGGAAAGAAAACGAATTAACAACAGAACTTATCAACTTTATAAATTACAAAAATAAGACCATCAAAAAGAAAAGCAAGAAGCAAACCGCTCCTCCACTTATAGTTACAATTTAGTTTTGAGCCTTCAGTCTTATTTTTCTCACTAGCTGTCTCCCATCCCCACTCTTCATTTGAGGCACTTGTTTCCATGGATATAAAACAGTTTCCAGTACATTGCACACATCTGCCCCTTTACTTGAAGGTAAGGGTTGAGTTTGATTCTATTCTTAATGGATATCCACACTGACAGGATCCGTGAAGTTGGGGAGTGGGAGCTGAAATTCTAGTCAACTTTCTCCTCCCTAGTGAGAGCAAAGAAGCTCATTCATAATTCCTCAATCTCAATGGATTAACAAACCAATAAACTGGGAAACACTCCAGGGATTTTCCTGCTCTATATGACACACATTCTCAATGTCCATTAGAAGAGATTTGGTAACACATACTCATTCCTCTTAATTATTTCTTCTAAATTTTTCAAATTTTAGTTTATTTTACGCCCACGAACCTTTCTTTCCCTTTATTTCTCTTTCCATGTCTAGTTTGATACTAAATTTACCCATTTTGATTCACACTCAGTTGTACTCTTTCCAGTATTAATTTCTCAATCATTCATTCTAATTGGTTAAAAAGAGATATCCAATTGCTGCCCCGTTCACTCAGATGTCTGGATTGCCTCACTGTGCCGCTGACAGCTTGCACTTTTTACAACTTTGTGGGTAATAATGTTATAAAGAAAATGTTGCAGGGAAATAACTGACTAACTTCATGCATCATGAGGTACTATTATAGCAAAACCTTAACTGACAGCAGTTAGTTTTATACCTATTCATTCCAGTCTTGCTTCTAAAAGTCATAAATAAATTGACTCCATGAAAAAAGAACAAATATCCTTTGCCAATAAAATTGCTTTAGCTAATTTAAAAAAGGTAAACTTAAAATTGATGCTTCCTTGGGTCATAAAACTGGACTACTTCTGAAATTTCTCAGTTGTGTCTGAATTTCCTTATCTACCCATCAGATGACAATGTCTAATTACTACTACATGATATATTTTACTTGTCATATTACCTGGTGGTGACCTGAATTAGGTATCATGGCCCCTCATCCAGGTTTCTAAATTTAAAATAGCGATCCATTGTATTGGAACAATGCAGTTTCTTTACATTCACTTTTGTCTTGTGTAAGCCTTCTTATTCTATATTGCCCTTAACTTGAACTTAATAACTATTTGTTTTTTTAATTTCGATTTAGTATGGGAACTTACAATGTAGAGGTATGATGGGTAAGCTGACCTAGGATACCTCTTCACCCAAGGTGGATTCCCAGTCTGCATATGGATGATTGTAGAACCAAGACTGTAGATATCTGACTTTGTTGAATGGCCTCTGCAGGTAATAACTTCTGGACTCATATAGAACTAAAACAGAATGTAGATCTATAGTTAATTCATGACTTAAGATCATTCTCAAAAAGCTTTTATCTTTAGCCATAACAAACCTCATTAACAGGAAAGCCAATTGCACATAAAGTACTCCAAATTAAAGCCATGACTTGGCCATATTACTTCTTGGTTATCAGATAATATTTTCAGAAATATTGAGCTCTAAAGACATGTTAATTTTTGTGAAAATAACAAGAAACTGTGGAATATTAATGGCTTTTGTTATCTCCTGACTAAATGTTTTTATTTTAAGGGCAGTACAATCTACACTAAATGCTGAAGCCTTTCATTGCAACAAGTCATAAGGACATCAAGGTTAGTGAGTGCATCAAAATGTCTAGTGAGCACATTCACTGCATAAATGGAAAGTAGGGATAGTTGGGGAAGAGTTATGTCTCTTGATTGGTAATCCAGAGACCTGGACTTTTTAAAAGAACAAGAGTTCGTATCCAACAATTAAGGTTTTAACTCCATTTTTAAAAATCTGGCAAAAGAAAGTTGCTGGATTATTGTAAAAATCCAACTGGTTTGTTAATAGCCTCTCTGAAAACCTCGTTGAGCTTGCTGCTGGACATATTTATCACAAAACCTGAAATGGATGCCTGTCCAAACATGGGCCAGATCATTGGCCAAAGAGGAAGCAGCCCCGAAGATGGGAGAAATTCAAAGAATATGTGCAATAATGCCAAAGTAAATTCCTAAGGTACATGTATTCCAAACAGTAAACACATGACACATCATATTTATTTTTAAATCAGACTTGAAGAAGTGAAACCTCAGGTCTGAATACATGTAGAATGACAGACCTTAACATCCTTATGGTTTATCTGAGACAAGAGGGTGCATAAGAAACACCATTGCCCATTCATAATCACAGTCTGCACAGAACCTGGGAAACGTGCTAACCCGGGAAAGGCATTTGGATATTATGCCAAAAGTAATCATGAATACTTGAGAAGTCCCACAAAGTCTTACAGGGAGTCAAGCAAACTAAAAGCATTATTTTCAAAGAATTAAGAGTTTAAACTTATTTTTGGAAAACATGGCCCTACACAACTGAAGTGTTGGGAACACAATAACCATTCTCACCTCTGTTCCTCTAATGTCTCTGGGAATGTAGGTTTCTTCAGTCATCTGGACAGAAAGGCCAAAATCTACCAGCACTGCCTTGGTTGACATGAGAACTATATTACTGGCTGTGAAAACATGAATAATAAGACAAATGAACAAATCGTTCTAATGCTTGCTTTTGCAGAATAGACTTTTTTATTAAATTACTGTTACACAAAAAAAGTCATAGAAAGGGCAAAACAAAAACTTACGTTTAATGTCATGATGTATTACATTTTTGGAATGCAGAAAGTCAAGTGCTTTGAGGACATGTTTGGTCAACCATATGATTTCAAATTCTTTCATTGGCCCACAACTTTCCAATTTTTCTGCAACAGAACCTCCTTCTCCTGCCTCCATGAAGAGATGTATGGTTTCATTCCACAGTAAGGCACCATATAATTCTGCAATGTTCTCATGGCGAAATTGTGCTTGTATTTGTATATCAGCAGGCTTGAAAAATTCCACTGGAATCTTGAATTTGAAACAAAGTTGATTATATGACTCATGAAAAAAGACTTGCATGTATAGGTTTACAGTAATGATATGGAAAATTAAGGAAAAGAGCACATTTATTTCATCAATTCCCTTGCCTCCTGTCCCACTGGCAATAATCCAAGCTGAAATATTGCGTCCCCTAAATGGTCATTCGTGATGTGAGAATAATATCAAAATACAAAGGCCTGAAATAGGCCATTCAGCCTACTGTGTCTCTTTCACCATTCAATGAAATCATGGTTGATCTGATAAATTCTCAACTCCACTTTCCTGCCTTTTCCATGACCATTGATTCCCTTATTGATTAAAAATCTCTCAGCCTTGAACATATATAACTACACAGATCCATAGACTCTGTGATAAGGCATTCCAGAGATTCACTACTTATAGAGAGAAGAAATTCCTCCTCAGCTCTGTCTTAACTGTGTGACCCCTCACTTTGAGTCTCTGGTTCTAGACTCCCCTACATTGGGGAGGTTAAAAGGGTGAATGCCAAAGAATATTTTATAATTTAATCAGGTAATTCTTCTAAACTCCACTGATTACAGGTTCATTCTACTCATATGAAATTTACTCCACACCTGTAATAAACCTAGTGAACTGCTTTCAATGCTAATATATCATTCCGTAAATCAGAGGACCAAAATGTTCACAGTAATCTAAGTGTAGACTGTAAACTTCAGGAGGCTATTTAACTACTTGGATAGCCTGATACAGCCCTCAGTTGGCATCTAAACACCTTCACACTATGAGAGTTGGAATCCTGGTCAGCCTTTTCTATCATTAGCCCAGTGATACTAAGGCCAGTTGTACTAACTTCTGGCATTGTATTAATTAATTCAAAACATACCAGTGGCAACATTCAGTTTATTGTCATTTGTCCAGCTCAGGAATGCAACGTACAATGCACACACCCACAGAGCAATCTGGAGAACACCGAAAAGGTAAAGATATGCTAAAATCACTTAATTTTCAGCTTACATTTTCAAGAAAATCTTTTTCTCCTTCACCTCTCACCCCTTTTGTTTTCCACTTATTGATGGTTTATCATTGCACATTTCAGCTGTCCCTTGGCCACCTACTGGCCAAGCTACAAGCACAGCTGCAATGGTTGTCAGATTGCTCAGTTGGCTGGATGGCAAGTACGTGATGCACAGTGATGCCAGTGGTGTGAGCTCAATTCCCACATCAGCTGAGGTTATCAATGAAGTGCTCTCCTTCTCAACTTCTCCCCCCACCTGAGGCATGGCAATCCTCAGGTTAAACCTCTCTAATGACAGAGGAGCTGTACGGTCCAGTAGGGCTATGGCCGGCTTTGCCTTTGCCACGTCACCTCTTGTTCAAACCCTGAGAGACAAGTGAAAAAGGCTGGACATGATTTCCTCTCCACCCTGTAAATTTATTTCCGGTCAAATTAAAAAAACACTTGGCTTTTGATTTCATTTCCTCTCTATAAGTATATTTGAAAGTGGGAATCTGCTTCATGAACATCTTTGGTGTGACGACTCCTCCTGCTGCTGTGTGCTCCAAACACATCTTAACAAAAAAAACTTGGGTGTGCCATTTTAACATTTTCATTAAATGCAATGTGCAAATGTTTGGAGAACTCATTTAAGACATTTGCAAATATACTTACTTTCTAGATCACTAAATCATCAGATAAAGGTCATGACACTATTGTGGTTTAATTAGTTTTACACATTTTTATATTTACAAAATATGCCTTGTTGGGAAAAAAAGAATTGCGGAGTAAAATAAATGAAACCAGTCATAGTTTGTTAGCTGTAAAACCACAAGCAGTTTTCTACATACAGGAAAATCAATTTTTAATACAGATTTTAGGAACTTCTTTCACCCAAATAAAGTAAGGTCTAGGCCCGAAACATCAGCCTTCGTGCTTCTATGATGCTGCTTGGCCTGCTGTGTTCATCCAGCTCTACACCTTGTTATCTCTTGCAATTGCAGGGGTAACTTTCCTGTGTTTGTGCCCAGGTACATTGGATTGCTTGGCTGCAGTAAATGACATAACTGAATAGGATGGAGTGCACATCTTTAAAAAATGCTGTCAAATTTTTATTTCATTGAAATGCCTTTATTCATTGAAATTTTGAAGATTACAAAAGGAAATAACAAAAAAAAACTGATTGGAGTACATTTCTACTTGTGCTGTTGGACTCAAATACCAGGAGTCTCAAATTAAAATGAAGGAAGTTAGGAATAAAAAGGGAAGTCACATGGAACCATTTCTTGGCAAAGAGTTGTCATGCAAATTACAAGAAGAGGTCATTAAAGTGAACAATATAAAATGGGTCTGAGAGATCTAGATGTGCTTTTCAAGACAGATTAAGTTGAAGAATTAAGATTACTCAAAATGTGTTGGTTTTGTTAAGGTAATTCACATTTTTAATTACTAAAATTATTATATTCTTATACAGTTTTGTAAAGTTTCAGCAATAAAGATATATGCTTTGAAAATATCTTTCAGTAGGTAAAAGAGTGTATTCATAAAATGCTAAGTGACTTACTAATTTACATGCCATCCGCTTCTTTGTTTCTCTGTCCTGTGCAAGGTGGCACTTTCCAAAAGTACCTCGAGGAATGTAACCAGGACCAATGTTCCTATGGGCAAACTTCCATGGAAACAGGAAGACTTCTGAATCAACCTGATAATGTCCATTTTTAATAACTATATCCTTCTGTAGAATAAATAGAAAGCCACAAAAAAGACTGCAATAAGAAAATTAGTTTAACTTTTCCCCCCACAATGACAATTTGAGGAACATAGACCTACTGTAAATGGTAAATGCACATCTGCACACAACTAGCACTTGTGGTGGATTTAAAAATAGTTTAAAACTAGGTTGTGCTGCAGAATATTTTCCATTCATCAGAAATCTAGCAGTCACACATATGCAACACTGAAATCATGAGGGGCAGAGATAGGGTGAATAGCAAAAGTCTTTTCACTACGGTGGGGGAGTTCAAAACTCGGGGCATAGTTTTTAGGATGAGAGGAGAAAGATTTAAAATGGACTTGTGGGGAAACTTTTTCACACGCAAGGTGATTCATATGCAGAATGAACTACCAGACAAAGTGGTAGATGCAGGTACAGTTATAACATTTAAAAGACCTTTGGACAGGTACATGAACTGGAAAGATTTAGATGGATATGGGCCACATGCAGGCAAGTGGGATTGTTTAGTTCGGGAAACTTGGTTGGCAAAGACAAGTAGGACTGAAGTGTCTATGTCCATGCTGTATGACTCTACAACTCTATAAAATGCTGTATTTCAGATGTGATACTGAACTAATGCCTCATCTGTCCTCTCTGGCAAATGCTAAAGATCCTTTACCAGTATGTGTAAAAGAGCAAGGATAGTTCTCCCAGTGTCCTCGCCCTAAACGAATATCATTTGCAAAAAAAAAGCATTGCTGTTTGTGACATCTTGTTATGCATAGAATTGTTTGCCGCAGGTGACCTGCAATTTGTTACTTTGGAATTGCTCATAGTTCTTTAACGTCACATTTGCAGTTCCCAACCTGTTCTAGTTAGATCACATCAGCATTTTAAAAATTATGAAGAACCTTGTTTCCTAGTGCACGGAATAAAAGAAAAACTAATTTGCTGCACTTCATGGTTTCAGTTGATACTGACACAAGTTGTTATAGAATTTCATCAGGCAAATTAGACAGACTTCTGGCTGTTTAAATTATAACAGCGACTACACTTCAATAGTACTTCATAAATTGTAAAACAACTCGCGACGTCCTGAGATAGTGAAAGGCGCTACATAAATTCAAGATTCTTATCTGTCAATATCCAGTATATTCAAAAAGATTTGGATCCACTTCGGGCCAATTTCCATCTTAAGAGACGCTACAAGATCATGGAACACAAGTCTATTTGAAAAGCGATTTTTAAAAGGCGATACAGTAGAGATTACTGTATTCTAAACAACTTCTTGCACGTACACAAAACATTCCTCGCTCACCTTGTTCAATATTACTCCTGCCTCGCGGTTTCGGAAGCGTTGGGGGTAATTGCGGAACGTATTAGACACCTGATTTGCAAAGTTAAGTAAATCCTCTACTGTGCCATATCTGACAGAGTAGAAGGTCGGCTGTTGACCGTCCCTGGCCCTATTCTCTGGCACTCCTTCATCCGAGTGCTGCTCCAGCGACAGCATATTGTCCTGGTAGAGTGCTGTGTCCTCCAAGGGGTAAAATGCCTCGAGGTAATCCATCACGTCTAGCTCCAGCAGCAATTCCAACCTGGCGTTATCGATACTTTGGGTCAGCATGTACTCCATTGCCTTTCTCTTTCGATCACTACAGTCTGCCCTGACAAAACAGATGCAGCAGAAAGCATCAGCACCTAATCACAGCAGACACACACCAGCAACAGCGGCGGCGTCTCACTGCTGCCATGATCCCGCTCTGACTCTACTGCCAAGCATGTGACACTGAGCAGAGATTCCCCAGCTTCAGTGAGAGGGGTGGAGCTCAGCTTTCAGTACATGGAGCCATTGACAACCGAGTGGGTGGGCGGCAAGCTCAAGGAGGCGGGTCACAACCTAGACGGGGTTGCCCCAGATTCGACAGGATCACACAGCATTACTATGCCTGTGCCGTGATATCTCTACGACGGTGTATCACCAATAACAGCTCTCATTTAAATGCAGGTATTTCTTTATGAAATGAAGTAAGGCTGCTGGCGTGGAGTTGTATTGAATGTCCTACTACGCTGTAAATAATAAGTAATATTCTACGTAAAATATAGCTGCACAGCAGGGACGGTCAGCTAGAGGCTCACACTGATAAAAGAAGATGAGTTTTTTTTCCCCAAGAACTTGTTTTTGTTTCAGATTCCAGCATCCACAATTATTTGTTTTATAACAAGATACAAACAGGCAGATACAAACAGGTTCACTTATGCATTTTTCTCCGCAGATGCTGCCAGACTTGCTGAGTTTCTCCAGCATTTTCTGTTTGTTTCAGATTTCAGATCCACAGTATTTTGCTTTTATTATCACTTATGCATTTTTAAAAATTCAGTCTTCAGCATACTTCAGCCAGGAATTGGATGTATTGCTCATACGTGAGAAGGTGGTGGTGAGCCATCTTCTTCACCCACTGACTCCATCCAGTGTTGGTACAGTTTGCTCTTAAAGAGGGCACTCCAAGTTTTTGACCCAGTGACAATGAAAGAACTACAATATAGTTCTTGGATGCTGTGCAGCTTAGCGGGATCTTGTAGGTGGTGGTGTTGCCATGCACACACTATCCTTGTCCTTCCTGATGATAGTCTTGTGGGTTTGGAAGATGCTGCCACAGAAACACTGAGCTGTTGCAGTGAATATTGTAGATGGTACACACTGTGTTGGAGGTAATGAATGTTTAGGATAGTGGAGGATGAGGTACCAATCAAGTGGGCTGCTTTGTCCTAGATGGCTGAGCTTCATCAGTACTGTTGGAGCTGCACCAGTGCAGGAAAAGTGCGGAGTATTCTATCATCCTGCCTTCTGCTTTATCGTGGTGGGTAGCAATAAGGAGACCACTTGCTTCCACAGACTTTCCAGCTTCTGACCAACTCTTGTAACCACAGCACCCATGTGGCCGGTCACTTTCAGTTTCTGATCAATGGTAATCCTCTGGATTCTGGCCTTTTATTTGTGCTGTATTAATCTAAAGAGTTTTTTTTTGCTGGTGGCGCAGCAGTTGACAATGGTAATGCCATTGAATGTTCGGGGTGGTGGTTGAAATCTTTCTCTTGGAGATGTACAGTGCCTAGAACTTGTATGATATTATCAGACCAAACCAGAGTGCAGTCTTAGACAACAAGGTGCAGGGCTGGATGAACACAGCAGGCCAAGCAGCATCATAGGAGCAGAAAGGCTGACGTACTATCTCTGAGTGCAGTCTTACTGTGAGGAATTGCAAACAGAATTGAACAATGCAACCATCAATGAACATTATCATTCTGATGATGATAATGTTGATGATGGCGGGGGGGGGGGGGGGCGTTGAAAGAACGTACGTTGGTTGAGCCTAGGACACTATTTCGAACAACGAAAATACATATACGTTCTGGAGGGGAATACTTCGGACCATACTGCAGCTATTAACCTGAAAAGAGTTGACATCTACAACAGGAAATTACAAAAATGGGAGTTGCTAACTGTCCATTAATGAACAAACCCAATCCTTCACTCCACTATACCACCAGTCACAGCACCTCCCCACGCCCGCCATGTCATTGAGGTAAACGCGATAATAAAATCCCCATGTTGACGAAAACAGATTTAACCGTGAGGGGTAAAAACATCTTCCGAATGAATGCACGATGCCCAACCGGAAAAGAAAACGAAAATACAAGTGCGCACTGCTTAGCGCCATGTAGCCCGCAGTGTAGCAATGACTGGGGAATTCCTCCTGTGCCGACACACAGGCGCACACGTCCTCCACAATTCATGGAAGGCTACCCTTTACCGCATCACTAGCCTGTTTATCATATCGGTTATCCATTCTTCGGTTTTAACCCTTGAGTCGTTGTCAATTTCGCTAACATTCTTCGTGACCTGGTCTAGGAGTTTCTCTTATCAGGTTCAGTCAGCAAGTGAGACTGACTCCATTTAGTGTTGAACGGGTTCGCCTGCATTTTATTTTCAAGAAGAGTATTTTTGCAATGTCTTAGTCATAAAATACCGATCATAAAAATTTTAAACCAAACATTGAGTGTGATTATCAATAAGATTTTTGTTCTAAGGACTTTCGCGCTTCAATTTGACATTTTCCGTAGTTTGAAGACAGCATTTTGGCTCTGATCGACCCGAATAATAAAGTAAAAGATTGTTTTTTATTTAATTGAGCTGCAGTGTTGGTGTAATGGTGCCAGATACTCAGGGCTGTGGGTGAGTTGACATGCCAGACACGATTAGCACTGGCTTTGTAGCTGTTTCAAAACGTGGGTCGCCGATCATCTCTTTAGAAGATGATATACCTTTAAAACGTCTCTCCGTCACCAAGAAGTCGCTGACAACAAGGTGCAGGGCTGGATGAACACAGCAGGCCAAGCAGCATCATAGGAGCAGACCAAGAAGTCGCTTCCTGTTTTGTGGCGCGGTCATTCGCTGGTCCTTTTATGTGAAAGAAGACTGTCCCAAGTACGTCAATGTTACGCACAGTCAGTTTTTTCCATCGACAGAAGATACGTTTTCCTTTTCAAAATTTAGCTATCTGGATCTGGATCATTCTTTGCTTTAGAAACTGCGTGATACAGATTCCTGACATCGCCACATGGAAAAATATATTTTACTTGTCAGAAGAATAGATACATGAGGGAGCTTTAATAACTCACCATTTTAAATAACAGACGCAGACTCAAATACTCTTTGTATTTTTGGAAGTGTTTCAATTTGGCTTTCAATTACTAAGCCACTGAGTTTATATTATGATCTATCAACATTTGTGTTTGTAAAACTGTAACACGCAGATGCACCTGTGAATAGACTGGCAGAACACCAGGATTGGAAGAGATATTTGGTTTACACAGGTCTCTACGATTGTCTCCAGCACTGCAATTAATTGCTTAGGCTGTGATGTTGGCAGCTATTCTGCATATGGCAAGAACTTTAGCACCATTATACTTGACTCTTAGCCAGCTTGTGTTCTCAGTGAAACTTCACCAAAAGCAGACATGCTGGAGACAATCATCAGAACTTTGTTCTGAAGAAGTCACATTGGATTTGAAAGTTAACTCTGCTTCCTTGCACAGATGCTATCAGACCTACTGAGTTTCTCCAGCATCTTCTGTCTCCAGGATAAGGGTATTCAAGGATCAGGGAACTTTAGAGAACACCAGAAGAATTGGGGTGAATAGTCACTTAGTCTAATAGCTTGCTCAAAGAAAATGCAGAGGCTGGAAAACTGAAATAAAAACAGAGAGTGCTTGAAATACAGCATTTGTGCAGACAAGCAAAGTTAACCCCAGTTCTGATGAAAGATCATTAACCTGAAATATTAACTTTGTTTCCTTTCCTACAGATGCTGCCAAATCAGATTATAAAATGTAGGAGCATGCCATAAGAGCAAAAGAAATAGCAGCAGGAGTAGGCCATTTGGCTCCTCAAGCCTGCCCCATCATTCAATAATATGGCTTATCTGCCCAAGGCCTCAAATGCTGTTTTGTGCCAACTCCTCATAGTTGTCAATTCCTTCATATTTTAAAAATCTTTCAGTGATCCATCCTCCACACTCTCTAGGGTACAAAACTTCAGACATTCACTCCCTTTGAGGGAAGAAATTTCTTCAGTTTTAGTGTCCCTTATTCAGTAACTATATCTCCTAATTCAAGATTACCCCACAACTGGAAACATCAAAATCTACTTTGTCGAACCCCCTTGTCATCTTGTATATTCAATCTGATTAATTCCTAATTCTTCTAAACTTAAATGAATTAAGGCCTAAGCTATTTAGCTCTTCTTAGCAAGCCAAACCCCTTCATCCTAGAAATCAGCCTTGTTAATCTCTTTTTGAACTGTCTCCGATGCCAGTATATCCTTGTCTAAATATGGGGGCCAAAACTGTACGCAGTACATAAAGTGCACCTTCTTCAATACCCTGTACAGTTGTAACAGGACTTACTCATTCTTAAACTCCACCCCTGAGCAGTAAAGGCTAAAACATTATTCTAAGACACAGGGAGATTTTGAAATCATGCCCCCATAACATTAGTTAGGATCCTTCAATGACTGGCCCAGTGATAGTACAATTAGATCATTACCTCCCAGGAGACAGCAAGAACTGCAGATGCTGGAGTCAGAGTCAATGCAATGTGAGGCTGGAGGAACACAGCAGATCAGGCAGCATCAGAGGAGCAGGAAAGTCGATGTTTCAGGTTGGGACCCTTCACTAGGAGTCGAGTCCTGATGAAGGGTCCAGACCTGAAAGTCGACTTTCTTGCTCCTTTGATGCTGCCTGACCTGCTGTGTTCCTCCATTACCTCCCCAGTTCAGATCATGGCCAATCCACTTTCTTGCTTTTTCCCTATGCCACTTGATTCCTTTACTAACTAAAAATCTGTATTATCAGCCTTGAATGTTCTTGGTGATCCAGCCTTAACAGCTCTGTTTGGTAAAGAATTCAACAGATTCACTACTCTCTAAGATATTCCTCTTCTGTCTTAGATCAGCGAACACTTCCTCTGAGATTATGCCCCCTGTACAATAATCTCTCCACATCTACCTTTCAAGCCTACTAAGATTCTTTGAATCTAAGAAACTAAAAATATTTGAACAAGGTTGCCTCTCATTCCTCTAAACTCCAATGAGTACAGGCGCAACTTACTCAACTTCTCATATGAAAATCCCTTCATGCCTGGGATCAACCTAATGAACCTTCTTTGGTCTGTGTCCAATGCCAGTATATTTTTCCTTAGATAAGGGGACCAACACTGTTTCATGACCCCT